TAGACAATGGGCGAAGGCGGCACCGCACGGCGCACCGCGCAAGGAATGCGCTCACGGATTGTTCGCGGCATCAGCACATCAGTATGCGAGGCGAGGCACACGCGGTTACCGACACGTGTAAGGCCCTCGCTTACCTTGCCTAATTATTGGAATACGAGTATATTGACGTTTCGTACGTGATACAATTCTAGTAACGATTCCGTATTACTTTCGGTTGAATCGTGTCGCAATGCCATGACATAATCGTCCAAATAAGGGCTCAATGGAAAGGTTTTATAAAATTATTCATTTATTAATTTCAGTATGAGTCACGTCGAAGGCCAGAATATTGTTACGATCCGTCTCCAAATCTGAATATCAAGCATGTTATTGTCGATGTTGTCCTAGTGATTTGAATTGACGTCACAGTCTTGAAACGAAATGAAACAAAAAAGATTATATTTTTTGCAGAAAAACGGAGGTTAACTCACTAGATGAGATCATCTGTATGTGATGATTTTCGTGATAAGAAACATGTAGCTTAATACGTTTCAGTTGTTTGATAAAATTAGAATATATCATAGACTCCCTGGGCGCTTATCAACGGTATTATATATGCCCCAGGGGGGCTATTCTGTGATCGTACGAAATATTGCAGAAGGGCGAGGCGCAAAAGCAAACAATGATAGAATGTATTCAATTGTCGTAGGTTATGTGCGTCAGTCTGATAGCTAAGGCGCGCGGACGTTAGACAATAAGCCGGCCGGCAAACTGTGTCATCGGCAGGTGGACGACTTAATGAAATGATAACAATAATGTTAACTTTACGCAAGCAACATATCCTGGCTCTATTTTATATCCAGATAGACTAAGACGCACTACTTTCAATTGTTTATTAGTGTTGTTCATTATGCAAGTTTTAATTTTATTTTTGATCCAAATAAAACGAATGTCTCATAAATATCACTATGTCTTTTATTTCGGATTTGGAAATATCCCCCAAAAAAATGTAATGAAGCATAAATGTAATAGTAACATTTGATAGCACAAATTAATGTTGCGGAATACATTTCGCGTGACGTCATAATTTGGCACATTGGGCAGGTCAACGAACGCACTAACATTTGGTCTACAAATGTTGGACACCAACAGACAACGGAGAACTAGGCGCGTCCAAAATCTTAATGCTGTTATGCAAATAGAACTAGGTTATATTGGAGTTAAATTAACAGCAATAAAAACCCAAGGCAAATATTTAAATGCTAGCATTTTTTGTATGTTTTTAATATATATATTTCTTAATTAGCTTATATTTGTACCAGTTTTAAAAACTTCATGTATTTTCCTCAAATTACGAGTTAGGTGCAGAACATGTGTGTCATTACAATTTTCCTCTTCAATAAACAAGGATCACACAAGAGCGATATTTTTCTTCTAACTAACCGCTTCATAATAAATATCTAACGGAGCGCTATTGGGCAGTATCGAGCTGTCGACCTTGGCACTAACGTCCGAGTACGATCGTCTCACCTGAATGCCAATGTCATCACAAAGACTTATCGGAAAATTATTTAAGTCTGACAATAAAGCATCGATTAATAACACCCTGTTTGTTTCTATTGTGTTAGTTGGTCTATTGCTTAGATAACTTCGAGTACACACAACAAATATCTACAAATAGATTACAATATCA